TAACTGGAACTAAGGCACTACTTGAAATCCTATATCCCTAAAAACATATGGAGGGTAGGTGGGTGGGGAAGGTGAGGCAATGGCAGAAGGCAACAAAAACAACTGAACTGAAATGCCATGTGACCTGGAGACCCCCCACACACTCAAACCCATTCTCCCAGCTGCATGTGAGAAAAACGTTTTCCACTTCTTTCGTCCCTCAGCCAACGAAAAACCACACTTTAGTTTTATGTCTTGTCATGAGCGTAGGACAAAGAAAACAATTCTGAGTCCTCATAAAGATTCGAACCTCAGACCTTCAGATTCCGATCTCTAATGCTCAGTATAACCTTCTTAATACCCTTTACACCCTAACATCAAGATGCATTTTTTCACACTGTTCCCTAAACATTTTCTAAGTTGCTGACAAGAAACATTTGCTTAACAATCAAGAGCTGCTTTGGTTGGTAATCCTTTCCTTTATTTTTGTGACTTCTATGTTTGATTCAAGGGTGATATTGTAGGGAGAAATGAAATGTTACAGCTGTCGTCACTCTTAGGAGATAAAGGGTTCTCTTGATTTTTACACAAATTCTCCTTAGCATACTTACTTTTTCAGGCTTGTCCTAAAAGCCTTTAAACATTTGTCATATCCATGGTCATCATTCCAGAGTTTAGTCACCACAAAGATGTCTTCCCTCTTCACTCCTGACTCTTTGATTGCTTGTCCAACTTCAGCTTCATTTCTAATGAAATATTTCAAGATTTCTTTTTGTTACAAGTTCTCTTTAAAAAAGAGAGCACTTAATCTACACCTAGCCAGTGAAAAATACTGACCCTGAGATGGTCTCATGGAAAACTCAAGACTACTGGGTTAAGAAACACTGAGGGACATATATTTAAAAGGTGCATTAGTCCCCTCTGAAAAATCACATAAAACACAGAAAATGAAAGGTAGCAAATTTGATTGTGTTCATCTAAAAAAGTAAGATGTTACTCTCGTGTCAAAAGCTTTACAACAAAGAAAAAAATCTGAGTCCCCATGAGGAGGTAAATCTTCCAGATCCGGAATTTCACACTCTAATGGTCCACCACTGAACTAGAGAAAACTCTATGATCAGCATGGCCATTGTTAAGTTAATGTTTTGAAGAATTAAAAAATGCACGAGCCCAAGTAACAAATAGTACTACTCATATACATGCAAGGGCATTCACGTGTATATTCAAATTAATTTTGCACTTAATTCTAGCAGATAAATCATTCTTTCAATCCCACCAAAGTCACCACAACTCAACTCAAGCCATCATCGCTTGGAGGCATGTGCTAAAACCCAGACGGTAGACGATAAATGATAGACAGTAGACGATAAATGATAGACAGTATACGATATCCTCTATCGTCTGCCGTCTGGGTTTCAGTACATGCCCCGTTTCTTACACTTTATTTCTTTCCATCGTCAATTTTTATACATACATGGTTGTTTCAAGTTGGTATCAATTCTCTTTTAGTCGAACTACATAAATCACAGGCAATCGAAGACGAAAGTTCCAATCAACTGTAATGTTACAGTCGACGATTCATCAATTACGCATGTGTGGTGCGCGTTCTGCTTTCTACTGGGATCAGCGATGCCAAAAATGTCAAGTGAAAGAGCAGAATTAGAAAAACAGTGATAAACCACAATGTAATGTACATGTAGTACACTCTGCTCCTTACGCAACATGATACAGAGAGCTGCCTCTGTAAATTACCTCACCATAAAACTGTAAATAAACGTACTGAAGGTAACATGATTGTGAAATACGAAAATCTCTTAATGGTCCAGCAAAGCAAACTTACTCGTAAAAAGTAGCTGTATCGATCAAGCGGTATCCATTCTGCAGTGCAAACTTCACTGCTTTACGGCAATCCTCGCCTTTAGCCTTGTAAACACCGAGGCCGAACAAAGGCATTTGGTAACCATCATTCAACGTTATTTTCGCTTGAATTCCTTCCCCCTCTACATTCATCATCAAAAACCTTACAGATGCTCGGAAAAAGCGTGCAAAGTAAAGTTGTCGCATTCGATAAAGAAAACGGTGTGTAGTGAACACTGCGAAATCTGCCAGGCTTCTTTAAGTTCTCCATTCGATCAGAGTACTGGGTTCTAGTTACAGTGAGACTAGGAGAGGTTTTACTGACGCTGTCAGACTCGCCTCCCTCCCTGTTCCTTTGACTGTTCTTCATTAACAGTGCAGCAGTTTGTCAGGTACCAGTCACGAGTCTAAAGAGGAAAATCGTGTTGCTTCCGATTTCCTTCAAATTTGGCGTCCAGTATAATTTAGCCAATCACTGAGCGAATTTGGGTTGGTACAGTTCAATTGAGCTTATACAAATGAACTTTTATGAACATTTTTGCGTCTAAGCGACCGAGAGCCTAAAATTTCGCCCGAAGGTTTATGATAGCGATGCCGGACGAAGCGGAAGAGCAGCTTAAAATGCCTATCAATGAAGAGGATGAGATAAACCAAAGAACTTGGATACCGGAGCGATTTATCAGGGTTAGCAAAGTGTTTACTTTGAGTCTGCAAGCGTTTGCAAAGTTCTACGCAATTTGAGTGTGGTCCTGAGATGCCAGGAAATTCTCTTCTGTTTGCCTTTATGAAATATTTCCATAAATTCATATTGGAGGGTGGAAAGCTTTGTTTTGAGAGGTTTTAGTTCAAGGATGCGTACTTCCATCGAAGCACCCAAGTTCTGTTGCGTTGCTGGGAAGTGCAAGAAATGGGAACGCATTTAAAAATCCAATTTAAAAAGCCTTGACTCAAGTGGGTCAGGGGGAGTAGCGAAGGCAAACAGAATTTCTCACAGATCACTTATATCTTAGTTACAAAATTACTTCATAAAAAGTATTATATGAGCATCTGGATTTCACTGAACATTTCGCTCTCAGATCCTGTGTTTAGACTACAAAAATTACAAGCACTAGCGTTAACTACTGAAGTATTTCAGTTAACGTCTTTGAATTTAAAAGGCTTGTCATTTTGACAGCTTCAGTCTCATTTGGCCATTACCGTGATAAAGAAACAAATTAAACATTTTTATTACTTCTTCTTGATCTTCATTCAATGAAAGATTCTCTAAACCCATCACCCATCATGCAACATTCTACCTTGCGTGTCTCTATTCCCATTTTTAGAAAACGGAAAAAATTAGTTCTATGAGGAATCAAGAGAATGACGAAAATTAAATAACCGGTTTGATTTTCATCTCAGCTCGTTTAGCGGAGTAGCTATGGCCTTTCCATTTGGACCAGTTCACACCTTCCCATGAAGTGGAGTGTGAGCCGTGTAGGTAAAGACCATTGAGATTGGAAGAAAGGCAGGAGTTATACCACCAGGCTCCTTTGCAACGTTTTGCGCATGAGCTGCCACCATTCTGGTCGTTGTCTTGATCTTTAGTGGAAAATGCAGAGCCTCTGTGATAAGAAAATGAGTCTCCAGCAGTTCCTATAAAGAAACCAAATAATATAGAACGTGAAGCTTTTTAACTAGACTCAGGAAGAAATCACGTTACACATCTCTGGAATGGAACTTAACATAAAATAACAGGACTTTTTTGAAACTGAAGTTTTAATTTACGTTAAGATTAAGGAGTTCGTTCGCCGATAATTTGGTTGAGACATTACGAAATAGGTAAACGCCTAAAAAGGAAACGCCTAAAAAGCTATGATATCTTTAGTTGCGACAAAATGCCAAAACGATTTTTTTTGGAAATGATTAGATGTAACTACGCGTTAATGGTCCCTCTGAGTAGCCGATGTGTCGTTTTGTTTGACCAAATATATCGACCAACCTTTATGGAATAAGAAAATAATCAGGAGTCGTAATCAGAGGTGGGAACTGTAACGAGAGAAGAATCGTCATCTAAGAGACTTGTAAGAAAGCACTGGCTACGTACCAGAGTATGATCCAAGACTCAGTCTGTATTTGCTTCTCTCGCTGGCAACACCAAAAAAGTCGTACTCGGCATACGCAGTATTTCCGTTGATATCTTCAAGGTCCACGTGAATTCTGCATCGTTCTTTTGTCAGCCGATGAATCTTGTCCAGTCCGAGCCAGAACTCACCGTTTAAATTTCCAAAGCCTCGTTTGTAGTCAGCCCATCCAAGGTAGAAATCAACCGAGCCATCCAGTCTCTTTTGGAACACTGTCCACCCTCCACCNTATTTGCTTCTCTCGCTGGCAACACCAAAAAAGTCGTACTCGGCATACGCAGTATTTCCGTTGATATCTTCAAGGTCCACGTGAATTCTGCATCGTTCTTTTGTCAGCCGATGAATCTTGTCCAGTCCGAGCCAAAACTCACCGTTTAAATTTCCAAAGCCTCGTTTGTAGTCAGCCCATCCAAGGTAGAAATCAACCGAGCCATCCAGTCTCTTTTGGAACACTGTCCACCCTCCACCAGCTGTCTTTTGGTCGCAAAAGACATCAAAGGCACCGGCGTCGTCAGGATCGATAGTGTAAACACCACTGATTCGTTTTCCAGCTTTGTAGAGTTCAGCACAGTTCTTGTAGACTAAAATAGAAGATAAATTTGATTGCAGGTCTAAAATTAACTTGTATTCCTGAGGGCAAAGACATAATCACGATGATATGGAATAAATGATAGATTTCTGTTGTACCTTTGTATTCCTTTTCCTCGCTTTTCGAATTTAGTCATATCGAGGTAGTCTGTTTTTAAATACCAGGATGACAGTGAAACCTTTGTAATGAAATATCTTTGCCCAAGTGAACTTTAGAAATTACCCCAAATTTTGCAGATATGTCGGTTATGAAAGCATTGATATGCAATCATGATCAGCAATTTGATATTTACCTTCAACATTTGTTCTATTTCCTTTCAGATTGCTGATATCCTCTCGTATCCCCCTGAGCTCCTTCTTAACTTCATGAAGAAATGTTTCGAATTCCTTGTTTGGCCCTGCATAGAAATTGTTGGAGTTGTATACGTTTTGACATTTTTCCCTTGAAGGAGAAACTTTTGATAAGTTGGAATTTCCCATGGTTTTTACTGGGATGGTTGTAATGAAAGCAAAAAATAGAACAATCCAGGAAAATTCCGTAGGAACCATGATCATTGTTGATAACCGTTGGAAAAACCTCTGGCAATACTTACACTGTCAACTAATAAATACACCCTAGCTTCATTCTTAAATACTTGAGGGAATTGGAGCCTATCGGAAACCGAAAACCAAAATTTCCGTCAAAACCCAAAAACCGGAATGAGAGCCTTTAAAACTAAAAACCTCAAATAATGGCGAAACAAACCGAGCTGAATAAAAGGGAAATAAGAACTCGCAGAACAAAAGGAACAAAAACCAAAAAAATGTCATTCAGTTTTAAATCGTCTAAACCGGAAAACTCGAATGGCAAAAAAGGAAAAATCCCTAACCGCCGCGAATAGATAAGTTGGAACACATGACCAAAACTGAAAGAAACCTAAATTGTTCAGACGACACGTTTTAGACGCATGATTTTCGCAAAAGACAGGTTTGAGAAATAGTATGAAATCAATATTCAAATTTAAGCTGTACTGAAAGCACGTAAAAGCGGGAAACGTTAAAACGGACACCCATGAATGACCCTTGTCAATACTTCAGATTAGAATAGATTTCAGCGATCGTTGATGGACGATTAAAGCAGCTTGGATTTGGATGTTCCAGTAATTTTGGGACATAATGGCAAGGGCTCATGAGAACCGACAGAGAGAGTTCTCTGCTGACTTTAGGTAATTTCTGAGCTCAGCCACCATATTCTAAGGCTTCGCTTAAACAACGATTTGAGTACAGTTTCTATTAAAAAAAAAAATGAGGCAACTAAATCATCAGTGGCTTCTCCTAGTAATAAGACCGATGATGACAATATCCATGTTTTAACTTTCTATGATTTCTCAACAATCAGGACGAACGTCGTGAGAAGCTAGAAAGTTTCTGGTTTTGAAATATTGATTTCCGCGCACATTTGGACGTTTCCTGTCTCCTCTTGTCTCTGACTTCCTTGGTTTTCTTCAAAACTCTCTAATATCTATGGTTATATTCACATCAGTGGAAGACAAAATCAAAACTAAATCATCAGTGGTTTCTCCTAGTAATAAGACCGATCATGACAATATCGATGTTTTGACTTTCTATGAATTCTCAACATTCACGACGAACGTCGTAAGAAGCTAGAAAGCTTCTGGTTTTGAAATATTGATTTTTGCGCATGTTTGGGCGTTTTTCTGTCCTTCTCGTCTCTGACTTCCTTAATTGTCTTCAAAATTCTCTAACATCTACGGCTATTTTCACATCAATGAAAGACAAAATCAAAGATGAGAGAAAAATTTTATTACTTTCAGATACTCGTACAGTGCAGAAATAAAACACACCTACACCCATTACTAAGCCTCAACCCGCGTTGCACCAACCTTTTTCAAGTTTTAGAAACCAGAAACTAAAACCAATTCTATCATGGAATTGATGAATACCGAGTTTTAATCGACTGGTTTGATTTCATGATCTCAGCTTGTTTAGCAGAGTAGCTATGGCCTTTCCATTTGTACCAGTTCACACCTTCCCACGAAGCAGAGTGTGGGCCGTACAGGTAAAACATAGAAGTTGTTGGAGTTGTATACGTTTTAACATTTTTCCCTTGAAGGAGAAACTTGTGATAAGTTGGAATTTGCCATCGTTTTTACTGGGATGGTCGTAATGAAAGCAGAAAACAACAATCCAGACAATGCAGTACGAGCCATGATCACCGTTGAAGCTTAACGGTGGGAAACGCCTCTAGCAATACTTTCACTGTCAATTAAATATATCCTTCATTCTTAAGTACTTGAGGATTTTGGAAATCTTCCGGAAAACCGAAGACCAAAATTTCCCTCGACAACGAAAAACCGGAATAAGAGCCTCTAAAACAGAAAACCTCAAATAGTAGCGAACCAACCCGAGCTACTAAATAAAAGGGATATAGCAACTTGAAGAACGAAAGGAACAAAAAAACAAAGTTTAGCCTTCACTTTTAATTCGTCAACTCCGAAAACTAACACGCCAAAACAGGAAAAATCCCCAACCGCTGCGAATAGAGAAGTTAGAATACGTGACCAAATCGAAAGAAACCTCATTTTTTCAGACGACACGTTTTGGACAGATGATTTTCGCAAGTTAACGTAAAGTTAACGTAAAAGATGATTTTCGCAATTTCAAAGTTAACGTAAAAGCGGGAAGCGATAAGATGGACACCTGTGAATGACCCTTGTCTATACCTTCAGATGAGAATAGATTTTAGCGATTGCTGATGGACGATTAAAGTAGCCTGCACTTGAATATTCCACTAATTTCGAGAAACAATGGCAAGGGCTCATGAGAACCGACAAATAGAGTTCTCTTTTGACTTAATGTAATTTCTGAGCTCAGCCGCCTTACTCGTCTAAGCCGTTCGCTTAAACAACGGTTTGAGCACAATTTCCAATAAAAAAATGAGGCAACTAAATCATCAGTGGCCTCTCATAGTATTAAGACTGATGATGACACTGAATAACGATGTTTTAACTTTCGGTGATTTCTCAGTTAACATTCACGACGAACTTCGTAAGAAGCTAGAAAGTTTCTGGTTTTAAAATATTGATTTCACGCATATTTGGGGCCTTTTCTGTTTTCTCTTGCCTTTGAATTCCTTGGTTTTCTATAAAATTATCTTAAAATTTTGGTTATTATCACATCAATGGAAGACAATCAAAGATTAAAGAAAAGTTTTATTATTTTCAGACACTTCAGTGTACAATGCAAAATAAAACACACTTACACCCACTGCTAAGCTTCAATCTGCGTTACACCAACCTTTTAAAGTGTCAGAAACCAGAAATTAAAACCAATTCTATCATGGAATAGATGAATTACGGAGTTTTAATTGACTGGTTTGATTTTCATCTCAGCTCGTTTAGCGGAGTAGCTACTGCCTTTCCATTTGTACCAGTTCACACCTTCCCATGAAGTAGAGTGCGGTCCGTGTAGGTAAAGACCATTGAGATTGGAGGAAAGACAGGCGTTGCCGTTATACCACCAGCCTCCTTTGCAACGTGTGGCACAAGAGCCACTACCATTCTGATCGTTGTCCCGATCTTTGGTGGAAAAAGCGGAGCCTCTGTGATAAGAAAGCGAATCACCAGCAGTTCCTATAAAGTAAAGCAAGAATACTGAGAAATAAAAACGTCAAGGCTTACAAAGCAAGGAGAAGTTATGTAAGTTAAAATGATAGATGGTCCTCTTGAGTTGCCTTTTTTCATCTTCCTCGACCACATGTAGGCTACATATGTAACTATAATGCTAACTGAGAAAGCACAAATCACATACCAGAATATGTTCCAAGACTCAGTCTGTATTTGCTTCTCTCGCTGGCAACACCAAAAAAGTCGTACTCGGCATACGCTGTCTTTCCATTGATATCTTCGAGGTCCACGTGAATTCTGCATCGTTCTTTTGTCAGCCGATGAATCTTGTCCAGTCCGAGCCAGAACTCACCGTTTAAATTTCCAAAGCCTCGTTTGTAGTCAGCCCATCCAAGGTAGAAATCAACCGAGCCATCCAGTCTCTTTTGGAACACTGTCCACCCTCCACCGGCTGTCTTTTGGTCGCAAAAGACATCAAAGGCACCGGCATTATCAGGATCGATAGTATAAACACCACTGATTCGTTTTCCAGCTTTGTAGAGTTCAGCACAATTCTTGTAGACTAAAATCGAAGATAAATTTGATTGCAGGTCTAAAGTTAACCTGTATTCCTGAGGGCAAAGAGATAATCACGATGATATGGAATAAATGATTGATTTCTGTTGTACCCGCTTTGTATTCCTTTTTCTCGCTTTTCGAATTTGGTCATATCGAGGTAGTCTGTTTTTAAATACCAGGATCGCAGTGAAACCTTTGCAGTAAAATATCTTTGCCAAAGTGAACTTTAGAAATTACCCCAAATTTTGAAGATATGTCGGTTATGAAAGCATTGATATGCAATCATGATGGGCGATTTGATATTTACCTTCAACATTTGTTTTATTTCCTTTCAGATTGCTGATATCCTCTCGTATCTCCCTGAGCTCCTTCTTAACTTCATGAAGAAATGTTTCAAATTTCTTGTTCGGTCCTGCATAGAAATTGTTGGAGTTGTACACGTTTTGACATTTTTCCCTTGAAGGAGAAACTTTTGATGGAATTTTCCATTGTTTTTACTTAGATGGTTGTAATGAAAGCAAAAAATAGAAAAATCCAGGCAAATTCAGTAGGAGCCAGGATCATTGTTGATAACCGTTGAAAAAGCCTTTGGCAGTACTTCCACTGTCAACTAAATACACCCTTCATTCTTAAATACTTGAGGGAATTGGAACCTATCGGAAACCGAAAACCAAAATTTCCGTCAGAACCCAAAAACCGGAATGAGAGCCTTTAAAACTAAAAACCTCAACTAATGGCGAACCAAATCGAGCTGAATAAAAGGGAAATAAGAACTTGCAGAACGAAAGGAACATAAACCAAAAAAATGCTATTCAGTTTTAATTCGTCAAAACCGAAAACTCAAATCAGTGCCAAAAAATGAAAAATCCCCAACCGCCGCGAATAGCCCGGATAAGTTGGAATACATGACCAAAACTGAAAGAAACCTAAATTGCCTTCAGACGACACATTTTAGGCACATGATTTTCGCAAAAGACAGGTTTGAGAAATAGTATGAAATAAATATTCAAATTTAAGCTTTACTGAAAGCACTTAAAAGCGGGTAACGTTAAAACGGACACCCATGAATGACGCTTATCAATACTTCAGATTAGACTGAACAGATTTCAGCGATCGTTGATGGACGATTAAAGCAGCTTGTACTTTGATGTTCCAGTGATTTTGGGAAAAAGATGGCAAAGGCACATGAGAACTGACAGAGAGAGTTCTCTGCTGACTTATGTAATTTCTGAGCTCAGCCACCATATTCTTAGCCTTCGCTTAAACAACGATTTGGGTACAGTTTCTAGAAAAAAAATTAGGCAACTAAATGATCAGTAGTCTCTCCTGGTACAACCTGAGAGGAACCGGCATTAATTTGTGCGCACCTAAATTTAATTTAAATTTTATGAAAAAATCCTTCACTTATATGTGTGCGCAGCTGTGGAATGGATTACCTACAAGTGTAAAACTGGCCAATAATATCAACCTTTTTAAGAAGCTATTGAGAACATTGAAACTTTAGCTGCTTCTCAATTTTATACTTGTATTTAAGTGACTCTCAATTTCATTGTACAAACTTAATTTTTAATTATAATTTTAAATTATTTAAGCTACTGCTTCACCATTTTATACCTCTATTTAAGCGACTTTGAATTTTACTGTACAAACTTAAATTTTAATATTAATTGTTAGTTATTTTAATTTCTAATCAAGTAGGTTTTGACAGTATGTATTAGGTTTTTTAGATTCTTAATCTTAGACGTATTTTTTTAGTACGTATTTTGAACGAGCTCTATGAGCTCCTTGACGCTACGTGGGTAAATAAAGTATTGATTGATGATTGATTGATTGATTGATTAAGATCGATGATGGCAATATCGATATTTTAACTTTCTATGATTTCTCAACATTGAGGACGAACGTCGTAAGAAGTTAGAAAGTTTCTGGTTTTGAAATATTGATTTCCGCGCACATTCGGACGTTTTCTGTCTCCTCTTGTTTCTGACTTCCTTGGTTTTCTTTAAAACTCTCTAATAACTATGGTTATTTTCACATCAGGGACAGACAAAATCAAAGATGAAAGAAAAACTTTATTGCTTTCAAACACTCGTACAGTGCAGAATAAAACACACCTACACCCACTGCTACACCAATCTGCGTTGCACCAACCTTTATCAAGTTTTAGAAACCAGCGAAAAAAACCGATGTTACCATGAAATAGGCGAATAACGGAGTTTTATATAACTGGTTTGATTTTCATCTCAGCTCGTTTGGCGGAGTAGCTACTACCTTTCCATCTGTGCCAGTCCACGCCTTCCCATGAAGTAGAGTGTGGGCCGTGAAGGTAAAGACCATTGAGATTGGAGCTAACACAGGCGTTATACCACCAGGCTCCTTTGCAACGTATGGCACAAGATAGGCTACTGCTCCGATCGTTGTCTCGATCTTTGGTGGAAAAAGCGTAGCCTCTGTGATAAGAGAGGGAATCACCAGCAGTTCCTACAAAGTTAAGTAAAATAAGATATAAAAACGTTAAGGTTTTGAAAGCAAGAAGAAATTATGTAAGTTAAAATGATTAATGGTCCTCTTGAGTTGCGTTTTCTCATCTTCCTCGACCACGTATAGGCTACGTATGTAACTGTAATGCTGACTGAAAAAGCACAAATTACGTACCAGAATATGTTCCAAGACTCAGTCTGTATTTGCTTCTCTCGCTGGCAACACCAAAAAAGTCGTACTCGGCATATGCTGTCTTTCCATTGATATCTTCAAGGTCCACGTGAATTCTGCATCGTTCTTTTGTCAGCCGATGAATCTTGTCCAGTCCGAGCCAAAACTCACCGTTTAAATTTCCAAAGCCTCGTTTGTAGTCAGCCCAACCGCGGTAGAAATCAACCGAGCCATCCAGTCTCTTTTGGAACACTGTCCACCCTCCACCGGCTGTCTTTTGGTCGCAAAAGACATCAAAGGCACCGGCGTCGTCAAGATCGATAGTGTAAACACCACTGATTCGTTTTCCAGCTTTGTAGAGTTCAGCACAGTTCTTGTAGACTAAAATAGAAGATAAATTTGATTGCAGGTCTAAAATTAACTTGTATTCCTGAGGGCAAAGACATAATCACGATGATATGGAATAAATGATAGATTTCTGTTGTACCTTTGTATTCCTTTTCCTCGCTTTTCGAATTTAGTCATATCGAGGTAGTCTGTTTTTAAATACCAGGATGACAGTGAAACCTTTGTAATGAAATATCTTTGCCCAAGTGAACTTTAGAAATTACCCCAAATTTTGCAGATATGTCGGTTATGAAAGCATTGATATGCAATCATGATCAGCAATTTGATATTTACCTTCAACATTTGTTCTATTTCCTTTCAGATTGCTGATATCCTCTCGTATCCCCCTGAGCTCCTTCTTAACTTCATGAAGAAATGTTTCGAATTCCTTGTTTGGCCCTGCATAGAAATTGTTGGAGTTGTATACGTTTTGACATTTTTCCCTTGAAGGAGAAACTTTTGAT